TAATTTGTATCTTACTGGATGTAACCAAAACCCTCGCTAGACAAGGTTTAGCGTTCAGAGGAAAAGATGATGATGAAAATGATAACTTCAGACAAATTACGTATTTACTTTCTAGGCACTGCCCATTGTTAAAGAAATGGCTCAATGATTCTTGCTATCGGCCATACAATTCTACATATTTGAGTCCTCAATCTCAAAACGAGTTTATAACCATCCTTGCGTCATCAGTGAACAAAACTATAATAGAAAAAGTTAGGGAATCCGGACAGTTTTCTGTAATGGCTGATACTACGCCTGATTTGTCCCATACAGATAGGCTATCAGTAGTTGTAAGGTTCGTCAATAATGAAGGTACAGCAGAAGAAAGATTAATAGAAGTCCGCGAAGCTTTAAATAAGACTGGTGTAGGAATGGCAAACGACATATTTGACACATTACAAAAAAATGAGTTAGATCCTGATAATCTTGTTTTTCAGTCGTATGATTTTGCCAGCAGTATGTCTGGAGTATTTAATGGTGCACAACAAAAATTAACTGAAATATTAGGTAGAAAAATACCTTATATTCCATGTCAAGCTCATAGAGTCAACACATTTATTGAACATGGTTGTGAAGCTAGTCTTATTATATCTGATATGTTTTCAGTAATGCAAGAAATTTATGTATTTTTTTCTTCGAGTACAAAGCGATATTCTCCATAACTGAAAAAACTAGCTGATATTGAAACTGCTTTAAAACTCAGAAATTTATCCAAAACGAGATGGACAGCACGTGCTGAGGCAATTAAATCTGTTTGGTCATCGTTTCATATAATTATTGAAGTTTTAGATGAGATAACAAATACAAAAGACAAATTCGATAAATTACTAGAAATGCAGCATATTCTTTATCAAAACGTTTAATTTCTGTAGACTTTGTTATAAGTATTATTTTTATGAAAAATGTTATGTATAAGATGAAGTTGTTAACTGAGTGCCTCGAATCAACTGAACTTAACATAGCTGATGCAATCATATTCATGTCAAGTACTCTAGAATCATTAAACATTATTAATTCTGATGTAGATGGCATGGACAACCTTATAGATAGTTCAATAGCGTTTTTGAAGTCGTTTGATGTGGATGCTGAAAAAGAATTTCTAGTTCGTCATAGACGTCGACTTGTACCTAAGCGCTTTGACAATAATAGAGATAATGCAGCTAATATGTCATTTAAAATGTTTTATAGAAAAGAATATAAATCTGTTTTGGACGAGCTCATATCACTGATGAAAAATCATTAGGAAAATTGCATTAGTACAATTAAACCATTATTTAATCTATTCAACCCCCCTTTATTAAGGAACAACTTAATCGAAAGTAAAATTCAAGATGCAGTGAATTTTTTACCCAAACAACTTGTTGTAGATCCTCTAAATTTACAGATTGAATTAGAAATACTTTACGACCAATGCAAAGAAGTAAAAACTGTTTCAGATGTAGTTGCACTTTCAGAACTATAAAAAAAAATGCTTCCCATAGCTAATAGAATGTCTCGTTTATTGTGTACAGCCCCAGTAACTGTAGCTGGAAATGAGCGTTCGTTTAGCAAGTTAAAGTTGGTGAAAAATTACTTAAGGACAACTCAGAGTGACTCCCGTTTAAGCGATTTACTATTACTTTCTACCGAAAAAGACATATTGGATAACATAAATTTAGATTTTATTGCAAAAAAATGGTCCAATTTAAAAAAAAGAAGAATTTGTATAAATTAAATTTTTGTATCTTGATGGCGTGTGTTATGTACTTTTTTATTATGATCACATAAATTCAGATTTTATTGCTAAAAATGGCCAAATTAAAAAAAAGAAGAATTTGTATTAGATAAATTATTGTGTCTACCTTTAACTATTTGTTTTAAGTTTTTTCTTTTTTATAGTCAGTCGGCCAAATGGACTTGGTTGCCCCCCTAAAAAAATGACATCGCTACTCCACTGTTCGTTTCACGCAATATATCGGACACACTGTTTCATGATTCGATCATTTACTGAACGTTTACCTGCACTTCAGTTAAAACCTATGCCTAACCTTATATTCTTATAATATAAAAATTTAAAAAAA